CCCCACATACACATGAATTTTGTGCACCAGGCCACGCCACTAGTTTTAAAATAAATGGTGAACCCAGGGGTTGAGGACCAACCAATGAATCATGAGGCCACGACTCAATGCCTGGGTTTTGGACTCAATCCCCAGTGTGGGGCGTGCAGGAGGCAGCCGATCAATGATTTGCTTCATTGATGTTTCTATCTCTCTCCCTCTCCCTTCCTCTCTGAAATTAATAAAAAAAAATGTATTTAAAAGATAAATGGTGATGGGTGTGCCCCATGAAGCTATGTGCCGAGTGTGTGCGGCTCATAGATACTGGAGCGGGAACCCAGTCACCCCTGGGCTTGGCACCAGCTCTGCCCGACACATTGGGACATCGCCCAGGTCCTGTCGGTGTACAGGGGAGTAGACCGAGGCTGTCATGGAGCATCGGCACCGTTAGAAATGCCAGCTGCCAGACCCTGCTGACACATGTCTGTGCTGGGTCCTCAGTGCACACCTGCTCTGCCCTCCCGACATCCCATGTTCTTCTTGGGAACTTTCCAGAGTAAAAACAACACCCGGGCCCTGACCGGTTTGGCTTAGTGGCTAGAGCATCGGCCTGCGGACTGAAGGGTCCCGGGTTCGATTCCGGTCAGGGGCATGTACCTTGGTTGCGGGCACATCCCCAGTAGGAGGTATGCAGGAGGCACCTGATCGATGTTTCTCTCTCATTGATGTTTCTGGCTCTCTATTCCTCTCCCTTCCTCTCTGTAAATAATCAATAAAATATATTTTTAAAAACCCCACAAAAACACCCGGAGGAGCCGCAGGCTGACACCCACCGAGGTACGTGGGCTCAGTGCAGCCGAGCGCAGAGACAGTTCTTCATGCCTCAGCGATCAAGATCAGGTTTGGTCTGGGAAAACGCATAAATGGGGGTATTTGCTTCATTTTTCATGGACGCCGAGCTGGTCTCTCCAGACCCCGGAAGTCATGAAGACGATCCTCTTTCTCCTCGCTGTTTTCCTCCTTCTGGCCCCAGGTAACATGAGCCCCTTTGCAGGATGGGCATCAGAGTGGGTGGACGGGAGGCAGGGCCTGCCTCGGGGAGGACGTGGCCAAGGTCAACTCCGGGAAACAAGGGCACCCTGGGCCCCATGGCCCTGCGGGGACCACTGGCCCCAGGAGGTGACAGTCCCCTCATGCTTCTTCTACAAACGCTTCCCCTTTTCCATTACTATCTGGGACGGGGTGTCACAGGTTTGCAGAAACACAGATAAGCCAGGAAAGGTACCCCTGGACCCCTAGTCTCATGCTCACTGGCCAAAAGAAAAATTTGCAGAAAGAAAGAAAAGCAAGGGTAACTATCTATGGGTCCTTTAGAACATAGTTGTGATAGAGAGGAAGATGGGTAAGAAAGGAAGAGCTGGAAATCAATAGGAACGGAGCTTAGAGACGCTATTTATGCCAGTGGGTGAAAGAGTCAAACCAGCTGCCATGCCCGAAACACAAGCTATGCAGCTGGAGAGTGTGACAACTCCACATGCTGACATGCATTTAGCTCTGCAATGCCGGTGCCTCCCGGGAACTCTGCCCTGCCCTAACTCAGGGACATTCCGAGCATCTCTTTTCATTGGGAAGGACCATTTGACATCTCTTTTGAGAGTGCAGGCAGGGAGGTTCAGGGGGGCTAAGCAGGTGCTGAGACCTGCAGGTGCACAGGGGTGAGCCAGGCTCCAAGACCAGCTCTGTCCACAGCAAAAGGACTTTTCCTAACCAACCAGAACTCTCGCCACTTTTTCCTGCTCCACTGGCTCTAGTCCAATCCTCCCCAAAAGTAAAGTACCAGACTGGACTCACCCTGGTTCCAGAGACCAAAGGAGGAACTTTGCAGAATTCACAGTGAGCCCAGGTGCACCCCAGATGACAGTGAGCTCTGTGCAGGGCTTAGTGTTCACACCCACCATGCACCTGCTATGCCAGGAGATTTGCAATCACCCTAAGGAAGTAGATTCTGGGTCAAGGACATGGGGATGGGGCCTCCAGTGAGCCATTCATTCCACTGGCTTTGACGCACACATCAGACATGGACAAAGGTATCATTTTCAGATCACTCCTGAAGATTGTATGATAAAGTGATCTGAGTACATGAACCTTTGCCATGGATGTGTCTTGGGTGCTCACACCTGCACAAACAGAGTTGCATGAGCCTCTAGATGGGCGTCTCTGAGAATTCACCAGGAGCCTGTGGTCACCAAAGCTCTTCCTCTTCCCAGAGGCCTCTCTTCCTGGGCCATCACTGGGAGTTGAACCCAAGACAAGGGCTGTTGTCAGAGTGAGGTCCAGCACCCTAGCCTGAGACGCCTTACAAATTAGGAGGACAGAGAGTACAGACTCCTTCTGTGGGAGCCACAGTTCCCTGGTCCTTTAAATGTGGGGTGTTTATCCATATGAGCTTCTATGCTATGAGAGGCAGGACCAGAGCACGTGGGGGCACCCATCCCTCTTGTTAGTGCATGTCCATGCTGTATGTTGACATTCATTCCAATCAGTGTCCATCTGACTCTTTCATTGCAAATATCCAAATTAGCCAACTCTACAATGTGGATTCTGATGTGCTGTCTGTCCTTAACTTGAAGCTGGATGCTCTTATGGGTGCTACTGATGCAGGCCTCAGGCGAGGACCAGGCCCCTGGGCAGGCTAGCAAAGGGAAGGAGTGGGGAGCACCCCAACCGACTCCCCTTCCTGCTCTTGAATGCAGGGGTGGATGTGGAGGAGAAATCAGACTCTTTCTAAGCAGTCTCTTCACCTCAGCACACTTCTTTCTTCTACATATTTATTTGGTTTTCACCCTAGTCTCGGCCATTCCCCAAGCTCAGGCTGGGCTCTCCTCTCTCCTCTCGTAGCACTTTGAGTGTCTGGAGGAAGTTACTGACTGCATGTGTTTACAGGAACAAGCTGATAATGGCTGGTGTGGCTCAGTGGTTGAGCATCAGCCTATGAACCAAGAGGTCACAGTTCGAATCCTGGTCAGGGCACATGCCCCGGTTGCAGACTCAATCCCCAGTGGGGGGCGTGTAGGAGACAGCCAATCCATGATTCTCTCATCATTGATGTTTCTCTCTCCCTCCCTCTTCCTTCCTCTATGAAATCAATAAAAAGTATTCTTTAAAAACTTCTAAAAAAACCCACACACAACCCAACAGATTTTGATGAGAACAGTAGTGTCTGTTTCACAAGGCCCCCCAAACACTGGGAGCCAACTCCGTCCTTCCTGTTCTGAGACCAGATAGAAACCATTTCCCCTGCCCTCTCAGGCAGGAGAGGCACCAACTCAGACAGAATCTTCACCAACTAGTTCCCTCCCTGGCTGTGCCTGGTAACCAGATGTGGCTGAGACGAGGACTAATCCTGGTGGCCCTTCCCTTGTGTAGCCAGGAATGCATTTTTTGATGAGAAATGCCTCAAGCTTAAAGGGAGATGCGTGAAATCCTGTAAGAAAAATGAAGAGCTTGTTGCTCTCTGCCAGAGGGCTCTGAAATGCTGCCTCGCCCTCCAGCCATGTTCCGACAGTGACAAGCAGGATTCCATCAAGAAGAAGATTCCCAGGACCACCGAGGCGGACCTACCTACAACTGCTTTCATGTCTCTCCCACCTCTCCCATCTCTCCCACCTCTCTCACCTCTCCCACCTCTCCCATCTGTCCCACCTCTCCCATCTGCCCCACCTCTCCCATCTGTCTCACCTCTCCCACCTCGCCCATCTGTCCCATCTGCCCCACCTCTTCCATCTGTCTCATCTCTCCCACCGAGTTCCCCTTGAGAAGCTGCAATAAAAACAAGTGGCTGGCCTTCAGTAACGTGTCACATGCTTTGACTGGATGGGGAACATGAGTAGCTACCTTGACTGTCCCCGGATTCTTTTTCTGGGGTTTTGTTGCTGTTGTTTTGTTTTGTTTTGGTAAGGGAACTGTCCCGAAGCCATCTGATATTTCTTTTAAAGGGGAACTTCTGGAGTCTATAAATAAACAGACCTCTAGCTTCCTCTCAGGCAATCAGCCCCAAGCAACCTGCTGAGACAGATAGACTATGATGATAAAGGAGAGAGAGAGAGAGAGAGAGAGAGAGAGAGAGAGAGAGATATGGAGACATAGTCATAGAGGTAGACAAAGACATAAACATAAATACAGATATAGACAGATGAATAGTTAATGAAATAAATATACATCAGCATGGATGCCGGGGTTCTCCAACCCCAGCAGGTCCAGGGGTCCCCAAAGGTGTGGATGGAGTCAGCGAAGAAGGAATGACACGGAGACAGCGTTCAGTTGATCAGCAGCCTGGCCAGGATCTCTAGCCACAATCTCCAGCCAAGTTCTTGTCCTGTTGTCTTGTTACATCTGTATTTATACCAGTTGATCCAATCCTATCACTCTCTATTCCGAAGGTTAGGGCATTTCTTATCTCCATTCCAGGGAGTAAAGATTATGTAGCTTAAGCATGATTGTTCGTAGTTAAGTGATTAATTACCCTCCTGGCACTTAGTTAGGAGGTTTTATTCCCTCCCTAACTTCAGGGGAAAATCCCTACCTGGGAAAACAACCTTTCTCGGAGAGGTGACCTTGGTTAAAACACAGCGTCAAGAAGGTGAGCAAACATATTAAGAACAGTATGCCATATATGCCAGGTCCCTTGAAACAGCAAGGATGGACCGGCTCCCGGCACATGGATAATTATATTAATAATAAATAGATAGATGGAGAACCTACTTACCAAAACCTCTCATGTGTCACACACCCGTTGAGATTAATTTCTTGACTCCATGACTTTAATTGGAGACACTGAATTACTGCCTATGCATTTGTTCTGCATCCATAAGTCTGGATTCAAATTTGCTAATGGGCAAATAGCTAAAATAAAACATTTATTTTTTCTCTCTGCATTATTCTTCAAGAATTAGGAAACTATTATTTTTTCTTATTCTTATGTCAACACTAGTGGCCCGGTGCATGAACTCGTGCACACTGAAAGGAAATTAATTAGAATATTTGAGTATCGCTATTTGCCCTTTCTCTATAATAGAAGCGTCAACCAAATTCACCATCAACGACGACAGATCAAAACACACCTGTGCGATTGGCGCCACTGAGAGCTTTATATGTATAGATAATTATTTGTGTGAGATCAATAAGAATGTTATCCTTGTAACAAGACTCTATTGGAAACACTGGTTATGTTACCACAGCTGTGACTGGAATGTCTTTGCACCTAGAATCCAGTTTAAGGAACTGAGTTGACCTTATGGAGCCCGGTCCCTGGCTAACAGGCTTCCCCGCCTTATAGCTGTGGTGCATGTTGGCAGGCCCGGCACCCGGGGGTACTTGGGGACCTCAAACATTCTCTGTCATTTCAGTCTTCCCCCCACAAAACCTGCTCCAATGTCTTGCCTCTTATCCTCGGTGCCATTGCTCACACTGACTGACTGTTATTTCAGTGAGAGGTGACCTTGACGCAGACAAGATACGTGGCTATGGGACTGCTCGCTGCTGGCGGAATTGTAAGAGACAGGAATTCAAAATTGAGTCTGCCCCAACACTAACCCGTTCTGTTTGAAAGGACAGATGGCACCTCATTGAATCCTGTGAAATACCCAAGCCCACTGGGGCCTGGTCCCTAGACGAGCCGACAGCCGGACCTCAGAGCCTCCCCTTTTTGAGAGCGGACAGCCCGAAAGTCCAGGGGCAGCCCCTGAGCTGGAGATTAGAGGAGGGCTTGCTGAGAGGCAGAGCGGGGAGCAGAGCAGCGGACGGCAGGGCCTTGGCCTCGGCCCCGGCGGCCTTCTCTGCTGTGAAGGGAGTGTAACAATGCAGGTTAACTGAGTCCCAGCACTGTAAACCCAACTAACATATATCTAGTCAGCTACAGCCTCAGTGAACATCATGGGTTTTTTTTTGTTTTTGGCCTGAATTATAGCAATTGATCTTGATAACATTGTTATTTTTCTGATCGGAAGTTCTGCTCAACAGTCATGTATGACTTTTGTTCTTTAATTTAGAAAATAAATCAATATTAAGGGCAATTTGTTTGGTATACACTGTAATGCAAAACATTAGCTTCTGGGGAGGAAAACAATGTACGATGAGAAGGCTGCAAACTAAGGGGTTGATTCAGGTGGATGTCTGTGAGTGTCGCACCAGCAGGTGGCAGCAGAGAGCGCATGCCCTGGGCAGTGTTGGGGGGCTGCATCCACTCACTGTCCCTAAGGAAAGGGAGGAATAGAACCTTTTTCCTGGCTTTCTCGTCCAAACCGTCTTATGGTAACCAAAAGATTTATGACGAAAAGCTTCTCTCTGCAAAAGTAGCCCAGCTGATGAATGAAGTAAGAATAGAATGAGAATGTCACTATTTTGCAAACACCCAGGGGACTCATGATCTAGCCCCGTGATGGCGAGCCTTTTGAGCTCGGCGTGTCAGCATTTTGAAAATCCCCAACTTAACTCTGGTGCCGTGTCACATATAGAAATGTTTTGATCTTTGCAACCATAGTAAAACAAAGACTTATATTTTTGATATTTATTTTATATATTTAAATGCCATTTAACAAAGAAAAATCAACCAAAAAGATGAGTTCTCGTGTCACCTCTGACACGCGTGTTGTAGGTTCGCCATCACTGGCCTAAGGTCTAAGTGAGGCACAGAAACGAGGAGTCGCCACGAGAGATGAAGAGGCTCTGAAAGGGGAGGCAGGAGAAAGTTCAGTCGAATGGAAGACGGTCCAGGAAAGGAAGTCGTGTCTGAGACAACAGGGAAGATCTGGAGAAGAGTGAAGGATGCCACTGAAAAGGAAAATGGGAGGGCTTGCAACCTAGTCCAGTATCTGGTTACTTCCCCACTCTGCCTGGCTTGGCCGGAGCTGCAGAGCCTAACCCCAGGCCCCGCCACAGCTGAGTGGGGGGAGCTGCGGGGACCCGCAGGGGCCGCCACAGGAGGAGATATAGGTCAGAGCCTCCCCACGAGTGCAGTTCAAACTTTGGATCTGGAATCCCTGGATGAGCAGATCTGCGAAATAAAGGTTAAACTTTCCTCCTCAGAGCTGGCTGATCGTTCTGCCGTGCATCCTGCCACACCATCTTCTCCACGTTTTCGTGGCTGCATCTGGTTGAGAGATTGGGCATCAGGGCGCCCTGGTCCTAGGTCGAGGTCCATCAGCAACGTAGTTGGCATTGGTGGTATAGTGGTGAGCATAGCTGCCTTCCACCAGCAACGTAGCCTTGGATAGTAAGCCTGAGGATGTCATATCTCCTTCTAAGTGATAAGAACAAAAATGTCCTAGAGGGAGTTTCTGTTTATTTGGGTTTTTTGTGTGTAAGCGTTAAAATAGTGATTAATTATCAGTCCAAAGTGGGGACTAGTGTGCATGTGAGGGGATCTTTGAAAGAAAGCATCAAGCTGAGATGATTGATAAGATGGAGAAAACTAGAGTCCTCTCTGCAAAAGTGTATCTAAGTACGTCATCATTCTCCTAAGTCTCTCTAGTTCTGCCCGTTACCACTCCCTCATTCACTCACTCATTCTTTCAACAACCAGGCAGTGAGCACGCAGTGCTCCAGGTACTGTTCTAGATTCAGGAGGTCCAGTCATGAATGAAATCCCCCCTCGTGTAGCTCACATTCAAACTGGGGAGACAGATAAGCAATATATGTCAGTAAAAACACGATAGATTAGAAAGTGATCAACGATACGGAAAAATGTTGGGCAGGGAATACAAATTGTGAGGCAGAGGGTGGCATTCTGGAGGCAGGAGGGAGAGGAGGTCTCGCCCAGAGGTAGACTGGGAGTGAAGACCTGAAGGTGAGGGGTGGGCCCTCTGGGGTCTGTGTTTGGTGGGTGATGGGCATCCCAGCAAGAAACCACAAGGCCAGGGCCCAGGAAGGAGCATGCGGCTATTTGAGGGGCAAGAGGGGCCAGTGTGGCTGCAGCAAAGGGAATCGGACGGGGGAGGGGGGTGAAGACACTCCACACGAGATTTAAGTCGCATCAAGAAAGTCACAAATTTAACAGAAGAAGAACTTTCTGGGCGTTAAGATTATAAAACAGTAACACGCTGCCCAGAGAGATTCCGGATCTACTTTAGGGCTCGTAAGAAGAAGCAAGCTCTGTTCTCCCGTCTTTCTGCGGTAATTTACGCAGTTCTGCCTGGACGGCCTCCAGGCTCCCCGGCCGCTGTGGGCAGTGACTGCTGGTCACACCGTGTGGCTCTCTGAGGGGTGCAGGGCGGGCGGCAGGCTGGACGGACACCAGCTGTGCCCGGCG